CTTTGTTTCTTGTTCCTCAACCTAAATATGATCTTAAAGCCTCTCTAGTATATTGACGCTCAGAGACGCTTATGGTGGCGCTCTACAGTTTCGTACTTAGTATAGGGTTAGAATTTTAAAGAAAAAGAATTTCCCCGGTTTTCTTCACTAGTTATACTGACTATTTAAAAAAGACTTTGTATATCTTAGGTATTGTTAAAAGAACCTTTAATTACATTTATTTTAGTGTATGATGGATGGGTGTAATATGGTTTAGAAAGTATACAGCTTGGCCTTACTCCAGATGTGTACCTTTCAAAAAAAGTGCTAGCTCCACTTGCTCATTTTCACTTCTCGAACTTCAGAGGTAAATTGTAAAAAAAGAAAAAAAAGAGCCGATAACTTTTTTTTATATTTTATTTATTTGGTAATTCATTCATTGCACTTTTAGAAGCTGGTATTGTCTAGTTTGGCAAAATTAATTTTCCATATTTTAAATGCTGCCAATAATAGTGTACCTTAAACAAATTCATGTTGATTTTTGGAGCACAAGGGTGCAGTCATTTTAGTGATGCATTGTGCTAAGATCTTTTAAAATTTTCCAAACTAACAATATCCAAAGAAATTTCAGCCACCTTACATGAAAGTAGCATAGAGATATGCCAACATCTCTCCACTTGCGTGTTTAAAATGCAAACAACTTCACCTTACTTACATCACTCTCCCAAAAATATATAATAACTGGTGAGTGCCACCTATATTTTGAATGCGTCATTGGCAAAACAGACAACATTGATGAAGAATACCTAGTGATTTACAATACCGTGACTTAACCCATCTTAAAGAGATTTTACATTGAAGATTTTATGCGGTGCCATTTTCTTAGCTATGATGACAAAAATATCAGTTAATAAAAGACGCTATACAAAGTTTGGATGAGATGGCGAATTTAGACTACGACACAGTATCTAAATATTGCGTTTTATTTTACTATACATATATCAGACAGGCTATATTATTAGCATTCAATGACCCGTATATAATTGCTGGGGGGGGGGAGAAGGCGTCATCCAATGCTGAATACATTTAATCTCAGAAGAAAGTTTCCCATCTACTGTACCTGAAAAGCCCCTAAAAATGTATTTTTGCTGCATCATAACGATAAAACCGGTTTTAAGAAATATTGGTTTCGAATTGTCCACTTCCTCATTCAATCCCTCTATAGGCTAATGTGCTTCAAACTGGCAATAAAATTACCACCCCTTTTGATTGACTTACCACACCAAAATATTTTGGTAAACCTCAAAATTTGACAACCAGTCTTACAGGAACATGATTTATTCATAAATTTCGGAAACATGTTTTCGATGCTACCTCGTCGTACTAACATAAATAAATGCCGCAGTTCTGAACCGGTCGCTCGCTAGTAGGGGTTGGGTAGCATAGGCTAAATATAAATTATGGCTCACTGAGTGCAACTTAATTAACAAACTACAAAGCAAGGTATAGAAAAAAAAACTTATTGGTCAGTCTCGTGGTCTGCAGAATAGAAGGTTAAGTTGTCTACTTTTGTACGTTAATTGACGTTGACCGGTGGTCAGTTAGACGAAAAACTTCACGTGTCAATCTCTGTCAGGCAATTTCCTTTCTCGAACTTTTAATCAAATCACAATAAGGAGACGTTGCTTTGTTGTGAGGAGTATACGAAAGAGAAATTCATATAAAAACGATACAAAGCATCTAAATTGATAGTGCAGCCTTGGTCTTTTAAGGGGAATATAAAATCTTATGAGTTGCTTTGAAATCTAATGTTTAGCAATAAATGATTTCATGTGACGACTGTTTGTACAGTTTAAAAAAGCACATTCCGTCCACTTGGGAATATATATATATATATATATATATATATATATATATATATATATATATATATATATATATATATATATATATATACAGAACGAAAACTAAACTAATAAGCATATGAACTGTAAACCCATATTTGTAGAGTGGCAGTTATCAACTAGAACAAATCGAAGATACGAAGTGGTACTGTGATTTTCACAAATAGGATACATGATCCATACACACGTGCTAGCAAGGACCAACGTACACTAACAGCACTACACATTCATGTTGTATGTATCCATTTCCATTTCGTGAGATAATCGCGTTTTGATTTTAACTCCATGAACAAGTTTTGTCATGACATACGATCAGAGGAAATGTTGACATGTTGGCAAGAATGTCGTCTATATAACAAATACTCTCATTTTTACTGATGTTCTGTTTGTACCTCTATATAATTTAAAAGACCTTTTAAAGAATTGTAAAATATGTCGAATCAAGCAAAAAAAAACAATGACAACTATAAAATTGCCTTTCACACGGACTTAACAAGCGGTGTAATTTCTATTGTAATTTGTGCAGAGGGATATAACTCTAAACTCTCAACACTATGGTAATTTACGCAATTATCCGGAAGTTACCGAATAGGATACATTACATCACTATGTTTTCTGAGGAAAAGAAACTTAGACCTAAGTGTACACAATATGGCACTGTGTCGGTACGGAATGTCCGTTATGCATAAAAGACGATGAGGATTTCAATGTTAGTCATTTTAGTCACTATCAGGTTAGAAATTATAAATCAATGAATGAACTTACATAGGTCTGTGCACTTTCTATCAAATTTTATATTTTCATTGTTTAAATCTGTGAAGGAGGGTACAAACAAACGGAGAGGTCTAGTCACACTATTGTAAAATAACTGGATGAATCGGATGATTCGTCAGTTCATAGGTCCTAATTTGGAACTTGAACGCCGACGGGCTGTTTCGAGTGCCTTGAACAAACAAAATACTATGTCCTAGATCTGCCTGTTAGAATCGTTGTTTGTGACTAAAATAGATTATTGCAGCTAATGTTTATTTGTTGAAAATATAAAACCACGTGAATGATTTATAGTTATTGTTACTATCTTCAACGTCATAATGCAATGTCATAAAGCAGGATGGTAGGCTTATGTCAGACATATCGCACACATCATTTAAGGAAGTCTTATATTGCTCAATGCAGTGTATCTTTTAACAAAGCTTTAACAATTTTAGTCATATCGCTACGATCTCTGCGTTGTGGCAGTTATTAGAGATGTCTAGCACTTGGGCCTCATGCCACATACAATTATCATCATGTCCCATCCAGTCACATTATCCTGACACCAGGCCAACTAGTCCAAATACTAACTTCTTAATGCTAATAGTCAAGCGAAGCAGCTGCAAGCACCGTTTATATAAGTCGTTTAATATGACTCGCCGGGGTTCAAGCCGGTGACCTCCCGCATAAAAGAAGAGCGCTGTAACCAATTAGGCCAATGGAGCCGTCACGAGAAATGAAAATAATTCTTATAAATTACAAATAGTTAAAATATAGAATCTCAAGAAAATATACCAGAACTATATTTTTGTCAAAAAACTTCGTACAAATATTTTCAAAATCACACAGGACTCCTATGCAGTTCCTTTATGGTGCTACAGACTGATAACGCAGTTTTCTCGTTAGCATTAACGTGGAAAACGGAACAAATGTGGTGTAACATGATTCTCTTCTTTTACAATTTCCTAATTTTTGTTAATAAAAACTATCTTCAAAGCAACCAATATTTTATGCAAAGATTGGACTCTTCTAAAGAATCAACGGGATAAAATTCATCTTTCTTTTTATTTTAAGCCTCCCAGACTTGTGATAATTAAAACACTTCATAAGACTACACATATTCTGTCGAGGGATCACTTCAACCGCATCTTTTTAGGCAATTTTATATGAAAAGATAACGATGTATAACGTTACTAAAATTCAGTAGCAAACCATATTGGAACGAAATATTTAAAAAAGATTAAAAGCTGCAGTCCGAAAATCCTATTGTATATCGGAAATATATCAGAATTTTACAGATGTTGCAACTGCACGTGATATTGGTATCAAATATATTTTTCTTTTACTTTTTGTACTTTTTTATGTTCAAACATTCTTTTAAACTCTCTCATCCGTTTTTATTATTACTTTTTTTTATTCCCGTCAAAGGACGGGCAATTAACCAAGTCTCATTAGAAAATTGACATTACTGTTATCAGGTTATACTTTATCATAACCTATAATTATTTATTGCATCCACATTGACAATATACTAGCAATATACTAATAATATAGTAGAGGGATTGAAAAGATGCAAATATGAAACAAATATAATTCAAGATAGTTTAATCACCACAGAAGATATAAATAACGCAATAATTAACTTCAAAGTGGAAAACCAAATTAACCTGTTATTATTTCCACCAAGATGATTAAATAACTCCTGCTGTTTCTACAGAGATCACAACCGTGTACGTTTAATATAATTTTCGATAATGGATTCATCCCACATCAAAGTCAAGAGTCTCCTTCCAGTCCACAAAGAGAGTGAAAATCCAACGTAAATGACTACCGCAGTATTGTACTATCCAGATGTTGCGGAAAATGTTTCCTCGAATCCAAAATACAAGAATTGTAGCTCAATGAAAGAAAACGGCTCATTATTAGGCTACGGATTTGGATTTCAGTAAAGGCATAAAACACAAAATAATATTTTTTATTCCTAATAGTCTAATAAATGCCAACAAGCAATGAAAACGAAAACTCTTTACTTTGATTTGTGCATTTTAAGAAAACATTTAATTCCGTATGGAGAAAATTTAAGTTTTACAAGATGATTTATCACAGTATCACAGGGTAAAGCCACATGCGTGTGTGTTTTGGATTTATAGTGTAGTTTAAACAATTTTTCATCAATAACGTTACGATGTCTACATTTTTGTAGCTTATTGTGATGTCTAGCAATGGGGCATAATGCCACAGACACAGCGTCATGTCCCACCCAGCCACATTATCCGGACACCAGGCCAACCAGTCCTTACACTAACGTCTTATTGCTAAGCGCCTAGAAAAGCCGTGTAGTACCATTTTTACAAGTTTTTGGTATGACTCTGCCGGGTTTCAAACCCGCGACTTCCCGCACCCAAGGCAGACACTCTAACCACTTAGTCCACCGGATTGATTAATCATAGGGTAAAGTCACTTGTATAATAATAATAATAATAATAATAATAATAATAATAATAATAATAATAATAATAATAATAATAATAATAATAATAATAATAATAATAATAATAATAATAATAATAATAATAACAATAATAATAATAATGATGATGACGATGACAATGATGATGATGAATGCGGTCCAGCTTTATTTAACAGCTATTTCACTGACATCACTACGTAGTTGTTATTGTTGTAGGGTTTAAAGCTATTTTTCAGCACAAGATAGACTATACATGGCAACCAGTATAAATGGTGGAGGAAAAACTCAGAAAAGAAAACAAAAATCCACAAGAATATACTGGCAAACTTTCTCATATAACCACATTGGCCGAACCCAAGACTCGAACCCGTCATCAGCATGTATTTTGGCTGTCAAGTGCAGCCCATGCCTAATGATATGTCTACTGCACATATCTTTATTATCGATGATCGTTTACTGGTGACGTCTTCAAAAGAACGACATAATGGTTTGGAAAATCTATTTATCTTCAACTCAGGGTGGAAATTAATCCACTAAGTGTGAATAAAATGAAATCCTAGACATATGGGGTTCGTCTAGAGTAAGATAAACTGAAGTGGTTATGTCTGTTCGATGCTAATAATATATAATTAGATAGTTAGTCGAACAATATATATATATATATATATATATATATATATATATATATATATATATATATATATATATATATATATATATATATATAATTTTCTCACAATTACTCACTTAAAAAATGTCTCGCTTACTATGTAAGTCGAGAAATTAATATTAAATAATCGGAAACGTGCATAACATATTTTGAGCTATAGTTAAACTTGGACTTCTATGAACATTAACACATATATTGTAACCTAAAAGTTGACAAAACCGACAAGTTGTTATTTCATCTCGCATTGATAGTAAATACATCAATAAAATTTCCTTAAGTAACTCTTACAACCTGTATGTTTGCAAAACTGAACTAACAAAATGTGTCACTATATTCTCTTTGTTATACTCGATACATAACCGCTTTGGTAGTCCGGTGGTTAGAGTGTCTGCCTCGGATGCGGGAATTCGTGGGTTCGAACCCCGGCATAGTCATACCAAAGACATTAAAAAATGGTACTAAAAGTTGCAACGCTTGACGCTCAGCATTCGGATTTTAGTGCTTGGACTGGTCGGACTGGTATCAGGATAATGTGACTGGGTGGGACATCATCCTTAAATGTCTGCGGCATTATGCTCCAGTGCTAGACATAACTATAAACTGTCACACTGTAGACTCGTATTGATATGACTGAAAAATTGTTAAAGCTACGTTAAAAATCTAATACACACACGCACACACATACGCACACACGTTATAACCAAACTGAACCAAATCAATGTTTTTTCATTTCTTCCTAAACTCAACAGATGAAAAAAAATTGTATTGTCATGCTCTGTAAATGAATATCTAAACAAAAATAGCATTCGATACCTTACTGCCGGAAAAGTTCTGAAATCCAATCACGTTACGACTTTAAAAGTACTGTTTCTAACGGACCCTAGCCGAAGCATTGTAACTACAGTGGCGAAATCTACACGTGAATCTTTTGAAAATCATAAAAGCAGACTGCTCTCTACGGCTAAGCGGTTGTGGTACATACTTGCCACCTAATATCATTTTATTCGTTTGTTTATTCTTCAGTGTTGCCTTGTACACTTACAGCTGTTGTCATTTAATGCATTAAACTTGAAGTGAGTATCGATCTAGCTCACAGTGTCAATTATTTTATTTCCCTTTACCTTTTGTTTTGTATAAATGTATTTTAAGTTAAGTCTGTTTGACATCGTATATTGATATCCGTATGATTACATTTTACGATAGACAGCTAAGGGAGAGTGTGCCTCAACACCGGGTATAAACAAAATATTGATAGGCGTATTATTAATTCAAGCAACTGTTACGGGTTCAATGTACAGCCACATCCGATCTAAACAAAACATAGCGATTCACCAGGATGACTATCTTTTCTGGCGATGTTTTAATGAGGCAATCGCGTCTTTATTCAAAGAATTATTTTCTCTGATCTATTTTTTTTTATTTCACACTAGTTGGTGTATCTTCATCTTTAAAATATGTATAGAAAATTTCAGTTGTGTCGATGTATCACTAACTTCCTGATGTAGTTGTTCTCGGTGATTGGATCCAAGATATACACACAATCTAGCTATTATTTGGCATTCATCGGCGAATGCGGATATGTGAGAAAGCTTGTCAGTATGTTCTAGTGGGTCGGTGGTTCTTTCCGCAGATTTCGCGGTTTCTTCATCCACCATTAATACTGGCCGCCATGTATCGTGTGCTGAAAAATGGCGTTAAGCCCCAAAACAACAACAACATAATGCATTCATCTTTCGACCCTGTTTTATTATTTTTATCTTTTCTTTCGGTCTTAAAGGCTTTACTTGAAACTATAACCAATTTTGTCCATTAACAGAACTAAGGAGTCTGTTATTGAAGGAGAATTATTAACACGACTCGTGCAGTACGTTACCGATTTTATAAACGTATCATACATTTTTCTAATTATTTGATGTCAATGACATGTTTGTGATAGCTTAGCGGTTTGCCTTGCGTCCTTTAAAGACTAAATTAATAACGCTTTGGGAGAACTTTAAGACCTTTCTATCATATATGACGGCTGATCCGATACAATCATGGTCTCCCTGCTGGAGAGGACTCCATCCCAACACCCTTCCCGATAAGCATCAGGAGCCACACACAGACACACACATATGGCGTGTAAAAGGTGGCGAGATAAAGCTTATGTACTTTTACGTTTTCGTTTTGGTGACTGCAGTCCATTGAATTTCACATTTAGCTAATAGGAATTAAATATTACATTTGGCAGTGCACAACGGTCAATGGGAATGAACATTACAAATATCACTAAAACCGACCTAAAGTCTATGGGAATTTAATATTAATGTTTGGGCCACTATGGAATGAATGAGAACTTTAATATTAACGTTTGGATCACTATGGTGTTAACGGGAAATTAAAAGTAGGTTTGTGTAACTATGGAGAATTTAAGATTACCAATGTTATTGGAAAGTCTATGTGGAATATTTCGACTGAAACTACTATGTAATCAATGTGAATTTGTACACCATCGATGGGATTACTATGGAAGCTATGTAAATTTAACACTGGTGTTTATCGGTACAAGATTTATTGGAATTTGATATCGACAACAACCACACTGTTATATACTTGTATCTCGTCAGCACCGCATTGTTACAATTTGTCAAAACCAAGGTTACAAGTTACACTGTACCGTTATGCTTATGTGTGGCCTGAATGTTATTGTTATTGTGTGTGTGTGTGTGTGTGTGTGTGTGTGTGTGAGAGAGAGAGAGAGAGAGAGAGAGAGAGAGATATTGTTCAAACATTACTTGTTTTGTTTATTATTTTTTGTTTATTATTTTTAGGGGGTAGGGGTTGGAGGTGTTTGTTTTTTAAATGAACATTCAGTAGTTATTTTGTTTTGATGTTATTGATGAAAACGGTTCGATCTAATCCCTTCGATTCAAATTTTCAATGCCTAAATTGTGGTACTCAGATCGAGAACTCGATGATTTCGTGATTTAACAAATGTGCAGTATAGTGTGGATCATGGGTGTTGACAAGAACACTTTGTCCTTTTCTGAATTAAATGTTTGTTTGGACCGCTAGTTTTGATGAGTACGCTTTGTGCTTTTCTGAATTAAATGCGTCTGTGGATCACGGGTTTTGACGAGAACGCGTTGTCCTTTTCTGAATTAAATGTTTGTTTCAGCATGTCAAGGTCCACTACTTATCTTCAAAGTAAGCTGAATACTCTTTTACTTTGACTTTCATCTGAAAGTTGTTTTCTCTTAATTCAATGTGTGGATGATAGCATCCAGGTTGAACGGTGTACATGCATATGTTCTTGTCAAAATGAAGTACTCTGTCATCAAAATGGTTCCAGAACCGAGTGGAACTTTCCAAAAAGTCGCTGACTGTCACTGTAGCAGCAGTGATTAAACTCTCTGGGTTAAACAAAATCGACAGATTCTTCGTAATCCACACACGAATTATAAAATCTTTTTGTACGTTTTCAATGTGCTGAATGAGTTTGTTTTGTTCTTGTTTATTACCTAAAACTATCGCATGGAACTCTCAAGTACTTCGTCATTGGCACAATCAAGTGCAGTTAGGTTTCCTCACAAACGATATAACATGACTTTGACAAAAATCTGTTTCTTCGCTATGTTCAACATTTTTCAGTTAAATTCTTTCTACAAAACAGTACCAGCGCTTAGATCTTGCACACCAGATAACTCTAGGTGACTGTCGGCTGTCTCGTTCATGGCATCTGCGCACTTTGAACTACTTTTATCAAAAGACGCAACTCTTGTTATCTTCTGCTGTGCTTACAGACTTCTTTTGAATCAAGCAAAACACCGACATTAACAAGTATTTATGTCGGAAGCTAATAGAAGACAACATTCTGGACACACAGGCTAATTACATCATTGGCCACAAAAATAATTCTAACTCGACAAATACTGCAAACTGAGTAACAAACAGAATTGCGCTTTGTCAAATCTGTTTTCTTCTATCTTTCCCAGATGACCCCATTCTACCCTAGTTGAATCAAACATTAACATTCAATCACAAAATGAAAATTCTCTCACGTACCAATTAGAATGAATCAATTAATCATCCAAACGCAATTCCACTTGAATATTTTACTGTTGTATATATCCTCGCAATATTAATAGCATCAATGGATATATTTCCAGTGCATAAAATATATTTTTCCCATGTAAACGTGGTCAATTGCTTGATACTGTGCTGGAAGCGTGTAGGGCGCCCCAAGTATATCACAATACCAGTATTTCACAAACACTTTCACCTGTTCCAAAGGAAATGATAATGATGCCGATCTCTAATTATCCATGAATAATACAAAGGTAAGGTCGTCGTTCTACCCTTTACTCGTCATTCAATTCGCGTACCTATCAGTGGTTATCGTTGAACTTTTAAGATTAGAACTGATGAAAATTTAAAATTATCCCAATAAAAATATGTATAGCTTTTTATTTGCTTATTGACAGTCATTGATTTAATGTGATAATACAAGATTATTATCAAATACTTTCATTGTGGTTTTTGTTGCCGTTGTTTTTGTTTTATTTTGTTTTCTCGTGTACGAAATTTTTGTACTATTGATCAACATGTCACTCCACTGCACTCGTCATCATATTTGTATTAGGAGCTGTATTCACTAAACAATAGTATTAGGTTCGAGACCTCCCTGCGCAATACTTAAAACAAGGAACAATTATAACTGTTAAAATGTTGAATTGTGGGCAGGGGTATATGTAAGCCTCGGATAAATCCGGATTCTACTGAGGTGAATTTTCGGTTTTTCAATAAACATTATAAGACAGAATGCCCTAAAGCAAATTGCGAGTACCTGATGAATCATGTATATGCTAAATGTGACAAACTATATTGCAAACTTTAAGTGCTTTTTTAATTTTGAAGGTCAAAGTTGAACGAGAAAAATAATCTGCGTTGAGGTTTTCTCCTAGACAACAAAATCCCAGTTGCGAAGTCATTTTATATGTTCCCCCCCCAGCAGAATCTCGTACAGAGACACGCAATATGACCCTTCCATTAGTATTTCATTGCCTCAATGCTAACCCAAACAGAGATTATATTATTTTCTTCTTTTGTTAGTCACCACGTCGGAACAACCGCTAGACTCTCGTTCTAACTTGAGAACCTCGTTCATTTTTTTCGAGAAATGTTTGGACTCGAGATGTTGTGTTGGCATTGTTCTGTAGTAGGGAAGGACCATATTTGGAATGATGCTACATTTCTGATAGTGATGTAAAAGAAATTCCATGATTCTCTCAGTGCAGGATTGATAGGACACGCAAACGTCAATGCCAGTTTCTTCCCACGATTCAAAGTGTAACATGATGAAGTCCACCGGGTGGTTCTTTGAAGTTTACTGGACGGTTCTTTGCAGTCTACTATTCGGTTCTGTATTGTTTTTCTTTTTTTTTTTGCTTGTTTGTATTTTGTT